TCAATACTGTTGATTATTAATTTCTATAAATTAAACATCTCATATAATTTTTCTTGGAATAATTTCTACTCTTTGATATTATGTCGAAAACATAACATAACATTTTTGCATTTTAATATTGAAATGTCATAATAAATAATAATAAAATGCAAAATTTATTTAAGTAGAAATTATTCAGTTATATCGTCATTTACTCAAGTCTTTTTACAATATTCTTTCTGTGAAATTGAATTTTTGTTTAATGAAATTCAGATTATGTACTAGTTTTTTTGTTTTCAAATAACATACATTTAAACGAAATTCTTCGTGTTTTGATCTCTCTTAAGTCTTAGCTTTTAGTTTTCAATTCCAGTATTCAAGCTTCACACAAAAATGCGAAAACTGACTCAAAAATGTATAAGCTTTTTGCTAAAATATTTCCTCTATTTTCTGTTAGTCTCTTAGATGTTTTTGGATGTGTTGATTAAAATCTAACACAAGTTTAAATGAGCATAAATATTTGTACTCTTTATAAAGCAGTTTGTATTATAATTAGAAAAAAGTCATCCATTTAAAAATTTACTTAAAACTTTTTCCTTCTGTTAGTATTCTTGTGATATTTAAAAAACTTGCTTTTTATTAGATTTTGACTATTAAACAAATATGATGAGATCGTTTTTAAAAGGATTTTGGGAGTTGCTAAAATTTACAACGGTTTTTATTTGGAATTCCATAATATTTATCCCGTTAATATGTTGTAAAAGTTACCATAACATCGAGTAATACATAAAATAAGTAGAGACGACTTCACTGCACCATTTAGGGCAATTTAGTTTTCTTTGATGTCCAAACACATATTATCAAGTGAGCCAGTACTTGGCCTAACTAATTAATCATTGATTAGTTTTGGTCCTTAACTATCTAATCGCCCACTAGACGTATATTAGGGGTAAGATTTAGTGACATCAAACTGGGTCTAATCTAGTTTAGGATTATTAATTATAACCCTAAACTAGACTAGATTTAGTCAATAAATATGAAGTCCGGTCGTTTAAACTATGTTGAAGAATTGAGTTCACACAACATTTTTGTACAGAACATGTGTATTTCTTCATAGTTACATGTTTCACAGCTCAATTCGTTTTCTTATATAATTCATTAATGAGGTATAAGTTACATCCCTGTAGGACAAAGTGTTAGATGAGGCTGATTTATAAGTGACAATACAAAACATTGGGTCCAAAATTCTAGCAATATATTTATTGAATTATATAAATTCGTACTGAATTATTTAAATTCGGGTCAGAAATTTGTATCGGCGTAAAAGAGGTAGCCTAGTTCTTTCTCCGAGGTTCCATCTACGTCTATACAAAAATTCATCAAAATCGGTTCAGACGTTTAAGCGTTCAGAAGTATATATAGACAGACAGATTTACTTTCGCTTTTATTACTAGGGATTATTTTGAGATTTACGTCTGCTCTGTATAATATTATATTTTTAAAATAATAAAACTTATAACAATGAAACTGAATGTTTTAAATTAATTACCTTATACTTATAGTTACATTGGACGAGGTAAAACCGCTTAATATGACCCGATAGAGAAGTTTATCTACATTATCAGTACTCGAAAATTTATCGAGATACAATCGGTTCAATTGATTTTTCCGACAATCGAAATTATTTTTCCACGTCTTTCATATTCCATGTAGTAAAATGATCTAAAATAATTCGTAATTTTTTGCATAATAATAGCACAATTAATATCAACGCTTTCCATCAAAACAAATCTCCAATAAATTTGAATGGAGAATCTCAAATAAAGTAGAAAGCTTCTATGTAATTTGTTGATATGTTTTTAACACAAAACTGTGTAATAGAGAAGAATCTATTATGCTTTTCATCAAGATACTAAGGGTACAAATGTAGACGTTGACAATTTTATGGATGTTCGATTTGTAGTAACCCGTTTTTAAAATCCCAACTGAATAAATAAGTATCACAAATAAGGCAAATTAACCCGTCGTCAGCCCTAAATTGCTTGCCATCTGGTCATGTGGCAGGACGGCGAGGCGACTAATGACTTACCTACGGGTATCGTTAGCCATGCGATTGGTTTTATTGGTAATAATTAGTAATATTTTATTTATCGCCTAATATTTATTTATTTTAAATATTTTAATACTTAATTTTTTTGAATGATTTTAAACAGATTTATTTCATTATACGAGTATAATCTATAGAAAATGTCTTCTTTAGACCATATAAAAGTATTTTTAATTTTTCCTCTGATATACAATGGTTATTTATGTCAACTGTCAATGTCACTTAAGTCCGTCATTCTAGAGTTTAAATGTAACAGAAACTTTCGAAAGTATATTATAGTAAATATAGACATGTGTATTTTAATAGCATAGCTAATGGGATGAAATGGTTATTTTAAAATTTTAAGTTAAATATTTGTTAATGATGTTTAATGCGTTTAAAGTACAGATAGACATTTTATTTTCAAAAATATAGGCTTATTTTAATATTTTCTACCTAGAATTCGCATTGACTAAACTATTAATTTTACAAAAGTGATAAGCTGCTGCTATGTTTGAAATTCAGGAATTTTAACTCTATTTTGCTAACTTACTAACTCTTATTTACTTTTATGTGTATCTTCATGAAAACAAAAATGAGTCTCTATGCCGTTTGAAATTTAGTCTACTAATTATATAGCCTTTTGAATCCTTTACCTCTTAAAGAATTTCTAAGCTTATTGAAAAATAAAAGGCACATATTCAAGTTTACTATAAATTACAAATACATATATTAATTCTTGATGTAATTCATTACATATTTTTATTTCTTAATTGTATAAGATATATGATAAAATTCCATTATTTTGTAAGTAAGAAACTCGAAGAGGTAAAAGTCAAACTGTTTATAAATGATTATACAAAATTGAAAATGATACAGGGGATCTTACGGAAAGGGTGGAAAAAGAATAACTTTGTAATACGTTCAAATGTTTGATCGACATTTGAAATGTTCAACAGGTGTCATCCGCTTAAACAAATTCGTAAGAAAACTTGTTGTAAACTTCAGGAGCGTGTCAAGTGAATTTTCGCTTTAGCAATTTGTATACCGTTCATTTCAAATGTTCATATTATTTATATACATTTAAGAGATATTTAAGAGACGTTATCACGAGAGATTACATTATTAATATTTGAAAAGAAGTCCAATGTTTTATATAAAAGAATGCCTAAAAGACGTTAGTGCCAATTTTTTAACGTATATTAATCGTTCTGTGGTATATTTATTATCACATAAATTAAACTGTACTGATTTTTTTTAATAAATTTTGTCAAACACCAGAATCTAAATCGTGAAGACGGATATATTACATGATTATTTCGCGGCGTTATTAAATTAAAAAAAAATCATCCTTAATTCAATGCATTTCATATCCCATCATCAAAAAGATATAATTACCTCAAGCTAAAGCTAGGACACATTCCGCTTGAAGACTGCAAAATGCGTGAAAGAAATCATTGGCAAAAAATTGCTAAAAAAACATTTGGTAACACAAAAAATTGCTATTGACATTTCGTCTAGCATGATCAAAGCTATTGTGAAATAAATGGAACTTTAAATAATATGTTAAATTAAAAATAACCTGAAATAAATACTTAAAACATATTTAAATTCAACATACATGTACGTATGTATGTATGTATATGACTATTAAACTCTTCAACAATAATGAGATTAAATATATATTATGACAATTACAAAACGTACCTATTTCTTTATGTTTTTTATGGCATTTCTTCTCCTTGAATTCTGATTAATTTCCTTGATAGAACAGAGATATATCTTTTTAATAAAGAAGAAAATAAGAGATAAATATCTCATTGTAAAATATCGTATAATAATGATGAGAAGTCATAATTTTTCCTTGGGAAAGCAATCGTGCGGAGGCAATAAAGTAGTTGCCGTGGGCGATAAATACTGAACCATTTGTTCAATCAGAACCGCCAGCGAAATATAACACCCTAACATATACATCTTTAGACAATATTATACCTAATTAACAAAGCACTAGAAATGATATTCAATTGCTGTTATAAGCACAATAGAGTCTGTTTACAGAAGACCGTGTGGTGGTCACACACTTTCTGATATAAGTAGTGAAGCAATAAGGTTAGGTTTGTTTGATGTTAAACTCCCTTTATTTGAACCTATCGAATAACTGGGGTATTGAAAATAAGACTTACTAAAGGATGGATTAATGCCTTCAAATGTTTTAACTTTACAGTGGAGAGAAGATAGTAGATACATATGTGTTTCAGTTAGATGCTAATTAGACCCTTAGCAGCTAAAGATGCCTCTATTTCTGAAAGTTAAGTATGTTATCTTCAAAACAATCTTTTACCAATGTTAAAATAATTATTTATTTCTTTGAAATTATTACGTGTGAAATGTTTACCTCTTAAAATGTGTTGTCGTTAACTCACTTCTAATCGTTGATAACGTAAGGCAAAATAACAAAATGAAAATTATCCTTCGTAAGTAGAGCTCAATTTGAAACAAAAATATTCTTCATCAATAAGTTGGATAACTATGAGGGATATATTTTTGAGTATTGCATTTATTAATTCATATAATCCCGCACACAATCATGACACAGACGTTATAATTGTATCGTGTTATATTTCATTTTCCATTATAGGTTGAGGTTTAATACGAAAAAAATTACATAGGTCTAACCTTTTTCATCGATTTATTTACTTTTCACGAAAAGTAACTACGATAATGTCACTAGAATCAAAAATATGAAAATCAATAAGATCAAATCCGTGAGAAACATGAATTAGGCAAAATAAAATTTCACAACGCCCAAAAAAAAATCTTTATATCTATATAAATAATGTAAAAGTTTATTAAAAAGTAAATAAATTAAGAATTGTATTGAAACATGTTATATGTGGGGCATTAAGTAGCTTTTAAATTTGAAAGTGTTAAAAATATGTCCAGGTATGTGGTGACTTCAATATGGTTCTAATAATGAGAAATAAATCTAGATTAATATTAATAATTATCATTATTTCGGATTTAGACTCATTTTAAAATTTTAGTATTAGAAGTTTCTTCTTTTCATTTAGTTAACGTTAGTCATATTCTTTGCGTATCACCCGATTTTATATTTTGTTATGCACTGACTAATGTTAATGATATTATTGAAAATAAAAAGATTTCTTTGGCTTGGTTGAAAGCGCTAATCTCAGGAATTAAACGTCAAAAAAGTTCAGGGTTGGTCTATTTTGAGGAAGTCTTAAAGCTATTACATTGGAAAATAAGAGTGAATTATTTAATATTGCGTAGAATATAGTCGACTCTTATGTATGAGATAGTATGTTACATTAGAAAATGAGAGATTTTTTACATTAGCGTGATAGTGGGTAAGATGATAGTTTACACGTAACAATTACAATAGCTTGTGCTGCGTTTTGTGGTTCTTTTCATTTCGTTTAAGATGTTAATATCATCGCTCGACCAACTGACTGCGTGAATCATTAAATGTGGAAAAAGGGCTATCTATTACGTAAAATCATCACTATTACTACATTCGCATTGCGAAAAACTTGTAATTTTTCGGCTTCATAGATTTCATTGTGTTAGACGATTTTTATGTTTTAAGATAAAGTAACAACATATTATTCAACTTCTGTCTATAGCTGCTGTACCTGCCCCGGCGCCAGCAGTAGTGCAGGCAATGCCGGTCTGCCCCTGATTTGCCTCGTGCCCCGCGATGGAGCCGCGGAAAACAAATCGGGGCCCCGCCCTACGGCAGCCAAGATGTCTGCTCAAAGCGACTTTCAACTCCTTGATGAAGAATACATTAAAAAACACTTTAAACTACCCCAGCGGTCTCTCTACTTGGATCCATTTAGGTATTGTTTTAATTTATGTAAATGCTATTTAAATTTTTTACTTACACCGTCCACTTATAGACGTCTTCAGAAAAAGAATATTTGATTATATTCCTTTAACCTTTTAACGTCGCTTTAATTGTCAGGCGTCCACTGATCACGTTCCCTATGACTCAAGAAGATGTAAGGCACTTTAATTTGGCTCGGAAGTACAAGATCAATCAGCAAATCCTCGACGGCTTCCTCGATCCCAGCGAAGCTATCACTGCTCCTAGTGTATTTGTATGTAGCACTATTTGAATTAAATATATAAATGTCTAATGTTGGAAGTGATAGAAAAATTACTCTTTTGACAAGTTTTTGGAATACCTATTTTGAATTGTTTTATTTCGATTCACAGCCTTATGCCAAGACGGAGGCTGAGAAGAGAAAAGAAGCTGAAGAAGATGAGGAAATCATATACATCTTACAATTGCCTGACTGGGAGTTTAAATGTCCGGTGCACAACCAGTCTGTACGAACGCCAAGGTAAGCTTTGATTGAGTAATTTTGAACATTTATTCAATATTATTCAAACCACGTGAACAAAAAATTTCATTCAGAGATAGCAATAAATACATTTTTATAATGGAAAGTTCATTGCTAAAAGAATTTTAAGATGATTTAAAATGTATCGAGTATCGTAAAATATTTGAAGAAAAATCGAATAGTTAAAATATTGATAAAGAATTTACGTTACTTTTGAAAAAGTAATTGATGGTATTTTTCCCACGTATTAAGCTATTTCTGTATTGACATATTTTTTATTTCAATGCACATTTATAATGTAACGCCATCTATGTCTCATGTGCAAACTTAATCATCCCCTTACTAAAAACGAACCCTTTGGTTAATGTAACAAAACATTGTAATTAGTTTTATTCCTCTTTCATAGATGGCGCTTTGAGAAATTTGTTTCTTTTTACATTAATTCTAGAGATGGCGTCCTTGCTTTACACAAATGGGTCTTTTGTTACAGGTTCATTTGGCATTCATGTAAAAAGACAAAAGGTAAAAGCGGGGAATTAAAACAAGGTGGCGGACCATTGAATAAACCGAAGCCCTGGTTACTCAGCAGACATACAGATTTCGATTTACTCTCACAATGGTAGACAAATAGTCGTGTTTTTGAATATAAATTTCGACATGATGTTTACAGTCCACCAGCTTTGTGAAAAAAAAATTAAAGTAATAAATATAATAAATAAAGAAAAAAAAAGTAATAAGGCTCACAATCCAGCTTTTCATTTTCGAAACACGATAATTTTGAGAGGTTATCTTATATTGACTACATACTTTACATACATAAATATCTTGAATAGTACATTTCTTTAAGATATATTTAAAAAAATATCTTCTAACAAAACAACGCAAAGTACTTCTTACTACTTATTACATAATATCGGAGATGTGTCTATTTATATAAATATTTGAAAATTATAATCGCCTTAAATGCGGCACACCTGAAGTTTAATGGGACTTAGTTGTTTTTAAATGAAAAGAAGAATCATTTGGATTCTATGAATTCGTTATTTGCAACGCGTGGATGGATTTTTACTTAGTAGTCTGGTCCGATATAAGCTCGTGTAAGCCCTTTACTCTCTCGTACACTTTTACCTAGAGTGAGTGAACTTTTTTAAATCAACTGATCTTTAAATGTATGTAACCTAGTTTTGTTACAACAAAAGTTCTTGATGTTTCAAAATTATTCTATGTTCGTATATACATTATAATTTGGTGAATTAAAAACAGTTCTAATCTTTATAATGATACTGATAATTATCTCTATAATGTTATGCCATGGATATATTTTTTCTCAAATATTTTATACAAACATTCGTCTTTACTTTAGGTACCTACTCTGAAAAAAAGTATAAGTATTATATCTGTCTACAGTTTAGTTAGTCACAAATAGATTTTTTTTGACCTTGGCTGAATGTTGTATATGGTTAAAATTTTATTATACTTACCTGTTCGTATATTAAACATTCAGGACAAACACTTATTATTTTTATTTCAAAAAGCAAAGTTATACAGTTTAACGTTTACTACTAGGTAAATCTAACATTTCCAGCAAAGTGCGGACAAGTCAAATTCAGATTTGAATCAAAATTTTAATTTTAAAACTTTTAGAACATGAAACGCTGTATACTTTTGTTTGCTGTCACCGAGCTTTTAACTCGCTATCGCAATTTCTGTTTGTTTTCGTGTCAATTTTATTTTTCAAAAATTTCCCCGTAAACAAATAAGTACGCAGCTAACTTTCAACTATATTTCGTAGATATTTACATTGTGATATGACGTGTATCGGTATATATTTTTTAATATAACTCAGAGAAATTCTCAGTATTTTTTTATGAACGGGAAAACGTCTAAAAAAATATGATACGACATATATGTAAATGTTATCGAAGTTGGTTTGGGGCTGCTTTTTTCTAGATGACCTGGTTCCTGCATATCAAACCGGACCTAATTTTGGTTAATTCCTCTATAAAAAGCCTAAACTTTAAACCATTAGACGGCGCGTAACTCGTCGTCACTTCTACTTTGATTTGAATCCGAAAGTAAGAAGATTGTATATATGTATATTTATATATAATCTTCTATTTTTATATATAAAATAAAAAATATTTTGTGAACTCATGATGTGTATAAAAAAATTAAAATCTTCCTAATCTTCAAAAGCTATTTGGTCATACGTAATCCTTTGCAGTATTGGGAAAATTTAATATTCTACATCACAAAATCAAATATTTTACTATATTCATCTCATATTGAATCCATGTAATTAGTATCGATAATAAACCCTTATAAATTCTAGGAAGTATACAAAAATTCACAATGATATTGATTTCCGCTCGCTCACATTTCAATTAAAAATTATCATTTAATTAAATAATAAATCGGATTACACATATGATTCTGTGAACGCAAAATTGATTTATTTTCCAAAAAATATACGCAATATTATTGGCTGGTAAAAGTCAAATTATAAAAAGAATTAAACTTCAGATAAATTTTAGTTTCATATTAAGTATAATATTAAATTATTTTAATATAATAAGAAAACAACATAAAAATGACGGACAAAGATTTGATATCAAAATTAGCGAATGTGTAAGTAAAACTATTGAACTCAAACTCAAACAACTTTATTCAATATAGAAGCATTACACTTTCTTATTGATGGTCATTTGAGACACTACCACCGGTATTGCTTTGGGTATTGCTTTTGGTATGTTCATTTGGGAAACATTTAAAAATTAATTTACTCAGTTTATCTTTGAGCTTTATTTAAAACTCATTATAAAATTTAGAAATTAGTTAGTTATAAAAAAATAACTTATGGAATTGGCTATGTTTTTCATTCGACAATCGAAGTCTATGCAATCTTGTAATTATCATTCTTATATCCATATACAATTCTGGGTATGATTAATTTTTATTTTTTTGTTATCTGAAATATTCGGTTTTTATATTGATTTTACTGCAATATTCAGGTTTTCCTCATTATTTGTAATTATTTCTGTAGGGATTTTGTATCCAGAACTTAGTTAAAACATTTGTTACAGTGTTTGTTTAACTTTGTTTAGAGTACAGTGGTGCTAACCACAAATTTTGCATTCTCACACTACGTCGAAGCGTTTCCAATTTGTCATCCAATAGCGTACATTGGTTAATACTTTATAAACTGGAAACTGTACCTAGTAGGACGACTATGCAAACTTTATATGAGCATATTGGTTATAAGGATTATTTAAATATTTTACAAGATTTATTGCTTTGATATTTAGTGTTATAATAGTTCAATAAGAAATCTGGAGCAGTACTTTTCATTTGAATTTACTTTCAGCTATTAAGCAAGATATGTAGAGTAATTAAATAATATTTCATGTGCTAGCATCTTGTCAGTGCCATTTATTTAACTTATATGTACTATATCTTAGTCCTATGGCGAGACCTGGATTTGATGCCTTGGGGATGTCAGCACCTGTTCTTGTTCAGATGAATCCTGAAGGAAAATGGGAAAACTGCAAACCGGGAAGCTTGGACGAGGAAAGATTAAAAGCAGTGGTTAATCATTTAGTTAATTCAAATGCACTATCGGCTGCTCAGAGTTACTGCTGTCAGTGCGCCAGTGAAAGTCAGGCATGTGCATATTATTTCTAAATAATAAAAATTGAAGAAGCATATTTTTATATGTATATTTTTTTACAGAAAGAAAGCGGTAAATCCAATTACGTACCTGTAGTTATGATGCCCATTTATCCAGCAGACAAATGTCCATTTGATTTGGACTGTGAGATTGCTAAAATGAAAAAATCGGATGAGAAGAAACCAACGACACAAAAAATGAGTGCCATACACGATGAGAAGGATAGCGAAAAAGATAAAGATAAAAAGAAATTAAAGAAGCGCGCTTTTGTTTTACAGCGGCTTACGGACTTTGATCTTTTATCACAATGGTAGTTTAAAAACTGTAAAAAATTTACAAGATTCGAGTATTTTTAGTAGTTGCGATGTGTATATGTATCAATATTTGAATGTCTTCAAACAGTAATAAAAGGTATTGTTGATATTTTTTTCTTATTTTTTTAAATATATGTTGGGTTAGTCGAGCTAAGCTGAAATCAACTGAACATATTGCTCATTTATCTTTTTAAAGAAGACTACAACTCAGTATATGCTCTTGTAAATTTTAGCTACATTTTGTAGCTAATATTTATTTTACTCAATTTTAATTTTCTTAGCTTTTCTTCCTAAGTAGATTATGGAATCAATAAACGCGACTACTGGAAATACTTTAGAAAAAAACCAATGACCAAAAAGCCCATAAATAAAAATAGTAAATTAAACTGAAATAAATAAAAATTGGAAATCATTTAATTGAAAATATACCATAAAATTTAAGAGAAGAAAGGCCGGCGACGCACTCTAGTGTTCAAGATACAGTTTCATCTTTGTTTTCCAATTTCACTTTTCGTAAGAATTTACTGGATTTATACAAGAAGACTGAAGCCCGTATTTATAGTTTTTTCAAATACAGGTTAACACTTAAATGTTGGCAGTAAAAAATTAGAATGTTTCAGTATTATAATTGGTTTTAATCAGTCCTAAAAGTAATTGTAATAATTATAGTATAATGAGTACGGCACAGAGAGTGGCACTTGGAACACTAGAGCCTTTAGGCTCCGCAAGTGTTCATGGGTCCACTTACCATCTGGTGTTTTGCCTTCTTCTTTGCCCCTATAATAACAAAAAAGTATCTACATCTGGAGTAGAATTGTAGAAAGGGATCAGTTTCATAAATGAGGATTTTATGCAGCTGATTCCAGGTCCAGGTGTGAGGTTACAGCTGATGACTAACTCTTCATACCTTAATAATTTTTGTTAAGTTTTATATTTTCTCTCCATTGCTTCTGTTATTTCAACTTTAAATTTTGAAATAAATTAGAATTTAAATCTCAGTTTTGGATTAGGACACTTATTTCTAAAATTATAAAGTCTTTTAAAAGTTCTTCTAAAAATCATGTTCTCTTTAACATTTTTTTTGCATTAAATAGTTCACCTATCCAAAAATGTTCGGACTGTAACAGAGTTATCGTTACATCATCATACGTTGTTAATTTTTAAATCAGCGTATAAAGAGAATATTTTATTCTTTACAACTATAAAATGTTAAAAATCTTCTTTCAGATGTACGGTATAAATATATATTAATGTTTTAAATCACAATTTTTAATAGCGATATTAAAGCCCAAAGATATATACTTAAATTTTTACTACAACCATTTATTGTTGTTTTATTGGAATAGTGATAAGTACTCTGTATTACTTCTTGAAAAATAATGTATCAGTATTTATTATATTAAAGTTATTTACGCCGAAATCAATAGATTTCAGTCAATGCTCGATTGACCTAAGTCCTTGTTTCTTTGCATGTGGACTATTACCGGCTTAACAGGTACTATGTTCTTTGGAACGACTGAAGTCTCATGTTTATGTCACAGCGGGGAAGTGACGAAGTCGAGCAGCTTATAATACAATGTTTGTGAACTGAGAGCTTTCCGATTTCACTTTCTCTTGTAGCAGTGCATGTAATGGTTACATTTTAATGTGACCAAAATAAAATGAACTTGAATAATTCTGTATAATATTTAGTAGTTATGGAGCTCGATCTTTATGAATGAATTATAATAAAAAAATTATACATATGAACATAATTTAAACCTTCAATTTTCATGACAGCGGTCTGGCCGTTTAGCTGATAAAACTCTCGTAGTTTAACTCGATTCAGGGAATTGAGTTGAACTCCGGTGGAAATATACAGAAGTATATTTCCACCGGAGTGATATATTAATATCAGGACGTAGGTGGCGTCTTATCAGGTGACCTTTAAAATCGCTCAGCAACTTTGATATTACTTAGCACCCCAAAGACGTCAACTTCTATGTTTTATCTTATGAAATTTTTGTAAGTATGATTCGTTTAGATACATCAACATTTTAGCATTCACTGAACCACCTCAGCACCACCCTAGCTCTTAGCTTCTAGTCGCGACCTTGTTCACTCACAAATCCCTCTTTACATAGTTCAGTATAATAAAGGTACACGACATTGGCGAAATCTATATGAAAACGCCACTAACTAAAGAATAAGAAGAAGTATGATTCGATCAAAAGTTGTATCTGATACTGCTTTTTCTTGTACAAATGCTGGTGGATTATACAATTTATAAATGAATCGTTTGACATTGGGCGGACGGCGTGATTCATGATTGTAAAGAGAATGTCACGCCCACAGTGCGATGTCCACTGGAGCGTCGTTTTTAGGTCGCTGACAGAGTCAACTATATAGAAATGAAACAATATACTAAACATCAGCGCACACTTTTATTATATACTGGTTTTTTTAATAACAAATTCGTACGCATTACAAATCCTTATTTATCATCTTACAATTATGTCATAGCTTATGATAATAATAACAATATTTTGTAATACATATCCTTGACTGATATATAACTCTATTTAGATAGAAATATATACTTACTTACTTTCTTCGGCGCTACAACCCTTTGTGGGTCTTGGCCTCTTCCACAATAGACTGCCATGCGCGACGATCCTTGGCTGTCCTTCTCCAGTTCGTAAAACATTTCAGAGCCTTGAGATCATCTTCGATGCAGTCGCACCATCTCTTTCTCGGCCTTCCTCTAGGTCTCTTTTGCTGCGGCTTCCAGTCGGTCATAATCTCGGGTGCCCTGTTTTTGCCCATCCTCTCTACGTGCCCAGCCCATCTCGATAGAAATATATTCAGTCAATATATCTAAAATATATTGCTCTAATACATACATTTTTGGAGTACCTGTTGCTCCAACTTGAAGGTTTTTGTTTTTATTTTACCTTTATTATTCTATTCCTAATAAGTATTTGCTTCGTCTATTGGGGTCAAAAACCACTTTAATCAATAAGAAATGTTTTGTTGAGAATTGTAAACATTCAATTATTACTCGTTCCAATACACTATTGAAATAGAACTGAAGCACTAGTATAGCAATATGAGTGCATTAAGAAAGAAAATGCATTTTATTTATAGTTAAAATTTTCTCGTAGTATTATTATGTATACATATATATATATTTTGCAGCATACTTATAAAAACATTTGTAATACATTTTCAAATACATCAAAGTAGTTAAGAGGGAATTATGCACTACAATGTATTAATAGTTCATCAGGCTTTATTACTGAGAGGGGCTCGATACTCGTATCCCGTCAGAAACAGCTCCGATTACCGCTGATACAGGTAAAAATATATTAAAGAATTATTCCCTTAAATTTCACAATATACCTATAACTCAATGTTTATATGTAGAAAAATAATTATAATACATTTTACAACATATTTCACGTCTTAAATACGTCTAAGTACCTTAATTTATCACTTATTAAATCTGTATTATATAATTAAAAATCTATTGAAGAATTCTACACATCTAAGCCTCTGTATAAGGCAAAAATTAATAAGTGCAAATATACATTATTACAACTAATAAATCGAGAATTACATTTAAGTGTACGTTATCATGTATGCGTTGTGTTAAATATTTCATAGTATCTTTATTAAAACCATTATTTCAGCAAAAATAATTTTACGACATATTCCAGTTGATTTCAGTAAATTACACAAACCAATGACAAATGTAACAAAACTTTCAATTCAGTTACACATACTGTTGTATTTCCAGACTAGTTTGACCGTCGACGTAGAACTAGCTTCTTTTAGAAGAAGATTATAATAATACATTTATTTACCTGTGAAAACTATTACTTAAAAAAAAATTAATGCTATACTAAATTTAAAAATGAAACATTTAAATTATAAGTAGATAATTAATAATAATGATGAAACTACGTTGCGTTTGTATCTTGTATTTTTAAGCTATAAATACTGGCTTCAGTGTTTTTTTGGATTGACTTTTTCTGCTAGCCCTGCGGCTTTGACAGTGTCACCGGGAGAGTAGCCCAGTGTGACACCAACTGGCTTCAGTCTTTGTGTAGATTTTAGAACATTGATAAAATAAACACCGAAAATAAAGTATGTATAAAGATAAAAACGTTGATATATCAAAATATTCTACGATTTCAGTGCAAAAAAAACATAGCTTAAAAAAATGTATAAAGATTTTGAAACTGAATCTTTGACAGTTTTGTGTATATTATGTTCACATGGATTTTACTCAAATAGCGACGCTTACTGCAAATATTGGATGTACCAAAATAATATTGGACAAATCGATATAAATTCTCTGAATATATAAGATTTACTACATATTACATGTATATGTATGACAGACATAAATATTATTATTGCTTCCGAAGACTATTAATACATCACGCATATTATATAAAATATTTATTTTGGGAACATAATACCTTTATAACAGGCATGCAAATGCACAATTGTTGGACACAGATTACTACATCGTTACACGCACATTATTAATGATGCAAACATAATATGCTTTGGAATATCTCAGTTCGTATGCTTTTTGCCGCCTTTGAAATATGATTTTGTTTTATAATGATTCAATATTCAATGATGTTTTAATTTGTACATATGTGTCGGTCATATTATTCTGATCCATGTAAACTGGAATTGAAACATTTACTTTTAATATTAAAATTGTTAAAATGTATGTTTAATATTAAAATGTATAAATTGATAAAATAAATATTGTACGAAATCATATTATGTTTATCTAAAAAATATTTTTATTGTTTATCCGAACCATAGTCATCGGGATACCATCTTCTTAAATAGTATAAGATTCTGCTTTTTTAAAAGCAAGGGTTGGTTACACTTTACTTTTGCTCATTGTCCATGTCACCTAATCAATGCTCCGACCTCTTTTGCTAAAAACCATATAGCTTGGCCAGATGGAAGGTGGAAAAGTAACGTCTTGGCCA